TCCTGGGAAGAAAATTTTCCTGATCTCCAACCCAAACCTCCCCAATGCAAAAAGCCCCACAACTCCTGAGCTGGGCCTGTGACTCCCCAACCCCTCCTTTGCTTAGAATATGCATCTCAGGTGCTGCTCCTCGATCCCCTTGCACCGTCCTGACGTTGGCCAGTGCAAGAACAGTGACAAGTGGGAGAAGGGGAGCACCTGGATGAGAGTGGGGCAGTGCAGGTGCTGTTGGTCTGCCTTCCCTCTCCTTGACATGCCTGCTGGGTTCTTTGCCTCCTTCTATGCAGCCTTTGGGTGTAAGTAGGTCTGAGCAAGTCTGACAAAAATACAAGGGACCTAAATTACATTGCCTTGCACACAGGTTCTGAATCTGACCTTGGGGATTAATTAGATAAACAACAATCTTGTACTGTACCTTATATAAATGTACAAGCAAGGCACCATTAAGGATTACCTTGTCACTAACCTAAGCCCTTAGTGATTTAATTAGACAATTAGAGGGTGCTTGGGAATGCTCTCGTAGTAACCAGAGATATTAACACCATTTGTATTTATATTTAATGGCATTGCAGAAAGGATTTTAATTATTTGGAGTCTTGTCTTTAGGCTTCTGAAGCAGAAATTCTCCCCTGGCCACAGCAATCTCACAGGTGCTGCCACAGCACTGATTTGGGCTGAGGGCCAGGTCCCTTCCCATGGTAAACCTGGGCTGCTTCTAGAAAGAAGGCTTTTTTGCTCATGCCAAGTGAAATTTGCCAATCCTTTGGGTGAGAGTAATGCAGCTCTGCAGTACTGCAGTAATGGCTGTGCTGTTAGGAGGGGTTGTGCAATGCTGCTTGGGGTGCCAAGACCAAAGGCACGTGTAATAACTGCATGGAAGAGTGCTGGTGCATCCTATGGCCCTGGCAGGTTGCAAGGCAGTTTGGTGGTTATGGTTACGGGTACCATGGCCCATGGGTAAGCTCTGTCCTGCTCTGCTCCCTGCTGCAATCGTATGCCCAGTAAAAGCCCTCTGCTCATCCATCAGCTCCAACCTGGCTTAGGAGAGAAGCTGGAATCCCTGAAGGAGAGAAGCCTTTGTCTCAGCACAGGGCAGATTCAGCTCCTTCCTCTTCAGCCCCAGCCACATACCCTCCCTCCTGCCTTCCTGAAGATGCCATTCTTGCAATCTCTCTGACAATAATTGCATTCTCACTGTATTACAGCCCCACTGTATTACAGTAATACAATTAAGCCTAAATAATATAGATGAAGTGGAGAGTAATCTGATTTGCTAACTAATGTTTGAGTCAAGTAGATTCTTCTCCTGCTTTCCTGAATCCAGTTGGCTGAACCCACAGCCACAGCTCCGCACTCCCTGCATGTCAGTGCAATGTGGGCATGGAGCGATGGCGATTCAGCAGGGATGGGAGAACATTCACGTTGGTTTTATGTGTGGAAGGAACTGGAATCCTCTTGGGAGCTATAATTGAGACAGTGAATGGGATGTCCTCAGATAATCAAAGACAATGAGGAGAAGTGGGGTCAACGATCCGTTCAATGAAAGCATAAGGCAAATGATATATTGAGCAGCTCCAGAGAGCGGTAATTTGACAACAGGCTGTGCTGAGCCATCTGGATGGGAGAAAGGGAGAGCTGGGGTGTGAGATGTGTGAGGTGGACTGCGAGGGGCTGTGCCTGCTCCAGGGCCGTGCACTGCGTTAGGATTATGTGGAAGAGGGGCCTTGGCTGGCCTCTGAACTATGAAATATCCTCTTTGGAGCCCAGGGAGGGGATGCTCAGTGTGACTCGGTTTTCTGGGAGCTGATTCAGTGGATGTGAGCTTGGTGGGCTGAAGCAGAGGGTTATTGCACACAGCTATTCAGGGTCAGGATTTTGGTATGTGGCGTTGCACTTTTCCATTTGCAAAGAGCAAAAATATGAGAGTGGAGCTCAAAAAAAACCTGTGTAAATAAGAAATAAGAAAGGAAAAATAAAGCCGCAGGGAACAGCTTCCCTTCATGTGCTTTGCTCTTCCTTTTTTAGTCAATTCTGCTTCTCATTCATGCAGCCCCTGAGCTCCCCCTGAGCTCCAGTGTCCCCATGCCAGGAGCTGCCCCGTGCCTGGGGGGTTGACCTGGGCACAGACCTGTTTGCACGGCACGGGGACCTGTTCTGAAGGCAATCTGCTTCAGTGGCCAAGCTGCACTCCGTACATCAGCACTCCAGATAGGTCTATGGTGAAATATTTTGCAAATCCTTATTTATTTATGGAAAAAAATGATAGTTCTAATGATTGGTTTTGTATTAAAAAAAAAACCACCAGTATATGGCCTTGACTTGATGCCCTAGGTTCAGGGAGCTGCACAGCTGAGCTCCCAGAGCACAGAGGTTAGGTGATGGCAGGGGAAATGCCAGGGTGCTTTATTTGAAGTAGATGTGCTCTCCAGGCTGCCAGACAGGGAAGGAAATTGGAAAAAGAGTGTCTTTCATGTGGGTTTTGCTCCTTGTTGCGAGGAGCCAGGCTAGGATTAGCTGTCCTGCTGGGAGAGAGCCAGGCCTGCAGCCTCCTGCGGGTGCTTGGGTTCTCCTACCAGGGCCGGGCTGGGGCCAGCAGCATGAAGGCAGAGAGCTAGGAGGGGGTCAGGAATGTGTCCCACTGTTTCCGGATGGGATGCAGCTCACACCTCCTGGAGTGCCACCAGAGCCACGGCTCCATTTGTCCCAGTCCATCAGCAACCACAGCCCCATCATTCTGGGCTACAGAACAATCAGTGCTCCCCTTGCCCCACCGTAGCCCTGCTATGCTCCCACCAGCAGTATGGGGAGGAGGAGCTGGGTTTTCTCAGGGGTCGAGAGGGAGGTTTCCCAGCAGCTGGTTTGTTTCTGGCCAGAGTGGAAGAATCTTACAGGCTGTGGGACAGCACTGGCCATGGCAACAAAGGAGGCAGCTGAGCAGAGTTCAGGTGGTGGATATGAGCAGGGAGGAAGGAGGAGAGGCTCACTTGGCAAAACACGTCGCTTGTCTTTTCAGCAGCCAGTGCCAAGGTGTGGAGCCCTTGGGCTTCGCACTTGACGTCGTTGGCCAGCACTGGGAGCCCCCAGCTGCTGCCAGGCAGAGCTCCTGTTGCTGGTGATGGAGCACTTAGAGCGGCTCTCCCTGGCTGCTGCTCATGGCACGGAGCTGCGGGCTGACCCTGTGCCCAGCAGGGCATGGCCAGTTTTGCTTTTCAGCAGTGCTGAACACTGACTGAGGTGGTTGTACAGCTTTGTCCTTGTGCTAAGCCAGTGTGGGAGCTCCCTGTTCCCCTCTGCATTGTCCCCAGCCCTGCATGAGCCTCGTCCTGCCTGCAGCTGCTGTCCCTTCCATCCTTCTGTTGGCAGCTAAGTTGTTAATAAGCTTCCCCTTGCTATGATTCCATCTAAATTACTATTTTAAAACAACTACAGATGTGCTAAATTGGCTCAGCATAATAGGATGAGATGGAGAATAAAGGTTCCCCCAGTGGGCTGTCGCCAGTGCAGGTAATTTATTACCTGGGTGGCTAATTATATGCTTCTCAGCTTTCTAGGGTGAAAACATCTTGATATTTCCTAGTTAAGGAGCCCTGACACAAGTGAAATGACCAGACATGTGAATAGGAAGCACGGTGATTAAGTACCTGAGGGATGAAGAATGCAAAGGAAAAGGCATTCTGCAGCCAGAAAAAATGAACTGTGTGATTTCCCTCCGCACCTGGGGAGCAGGGAGGGCTGCACCTCCCCAACTCCGGCCAACTCTGGCACTTTGTGCATGAAAACTGCAGCTAACTGAATTCCAAGCTGGGAAAAACCTCCTGTAAATGAGTGGAGAAATAGTTTCATGAGCTCTGCATATGCGCTTTGGGGCTGGGATGGTGGGGAAGAGAAAGGCTGCACCTCCTCCCTCCTGGTCTCTGCCGGCTGCACCCTTTCTTATCACGCAGCCCCACAGAGGGATGCTTCTCCTTCCTTATGGGAGCCAAGGACTCATCAGTGCAGTGTGTTATGATGTCTCCCATGTGCCCACCGTGGCCCTGCAGGTCCTGGTCATCCGCTGCTCCTCCCTGCCGCTTTCAGCACTTGCCCAGGAAACCCATTTCCCAGTTTTTGTGCTGAGAAGCATAGGTAGGAGATGCATATTCAGCCTCCTCACAGTCATTATTTGCTTGATAAAATTTAGTGTTTGCATAATTGATGTGTTTGAGACAAGGGATCTTAAAAAGCACATAGTTGAACACTGTGAAATGGGACAGTTTTCCAAGTGCTTAGAACCTATTGCATGAGGCAAACCCCATCTAGAAGGATGCCTTGCTGAGCAGCTCAGGTCACCCCATGGCTCTGATCTCATTGGAGAGACCACATGATCCCATGCTTCTGGTGGGAGAGTTGCAAAAAAAGGCCACAGAAGAAGGAAATAAAATTACTTGAGTTATTTCTCGGCCCCTCTGCATCACTCCCTGCTTGCAGAAGAACTCTCTGGTGTCAGCATCCAGGAGATGTGTATGATGTGAGCACACCCAAGCAGAGATTCCTGCAGCACTGCAGGGCTGTGGAGCAGAAGGAGTTGGGTCACCCGGGCTGCTTCTGGCTCTGTGTGGGGTGTGGGCAGTTCTGCAGCATCTCCCATGTGATGCAGTGGGGAAGGATGGCCAGGGCTGGATGATGTTGGGCAGCACCTGAGTCATCGCTAACAGTTCCTGCCACTGTGCCACCCTGGGGTTGAGGCGGAGCTTTTTGCAGCAATCCTCTGGTTTGGTCTGACCTCTGGGCTGCACTGATTCACCGTTTGCTCTGAGCCACGTGGCAAGGAAGATGAGCTGCCTGGGAAAGCAAAGTTGGTGATAAAAGGGAGCAGCAGCAGGCAAGGTGTTTGCAACACAGAAAGAAGCTCATTCTCCCGGATGAAAGGCAAGGCAGTGCGTGCGTGTCTTCGGGCTCCGCAGCATCTCCCAGAGCTCGGGTTTTATGTTTCTTTATCCTTCAACTTCTTCCTTAATGAGAAATTAATTAGCGTTGTAGTTCCTGCCTGGGAACTTGTAAACATGCAGCAGCCGTGTTGTCCCCCCCGCCCCTGCAGTCCCGTCCCACCCCCTCCCCGAGGTGCAGTCCGATCTCTCTGACACAAACACTCGAGAACAAAGCTGCCCGCCTAATTCAGGGAATTATCAGGAAGCCTGGAGCTGTGCTGAGATAATGAGCCTGAAATAGCAGCCTGCTGGGTCTGCAGCAGCGCCGGGACCCGGGCTGGGACCCCAGGGGAGGGCAAGGTGAGGTGGGGACGTGGACATTCCTCTGGTGCTGCCCTGGGTGTGCAGTGGGATGGCTGGGCTTGGGGTTCTTGAGCTTTCCATCCTGCCCTGAATGGATGCTGCTGGCAGTGCTGCTGCACCCCTTGCCTGTAGGAGCAGAGTGCTTTGCTCCCCATGGTGATGTCCTCAAGGTGAGGTTCCTCTGCGTTTGTGACCCTGCGCCATCACAGCTCCCAGTGCCTCACGCTGCTATTCCTAACTGAGCTTCCCCAGAGCCCTGCAAAAAGCTGGTAAAGGGCAAAAGCAGGCCTGAAGGGCAGAAGGGGAGGGAACATGGCAGAGAGGAGGGCTCGGTGAACCCCATCACCCCACCAGCTGCAGTGGTAGGTCCTACTTTCTTCACTATGATGTTATTTCCCTCAATGGACAAGTTGTGTCTCATCCTGTGTGCACCAGCTTGGTGCCAGCATGTGCCCTGTATTAGCCTCTGTGGATAACACAGCTGATGCTGTGTAAGGAGTGCTCTGCAGAAGCCCATTTCCCTGCTGCTGCTCTCCCTGGTGCAGCGTTAACAACAGGAGTTTCCCACCCGGAGGACAGGAGGTTTCCACAGCGAGGAGATATGAGGGAAGGGAAATCTTGTGATGTGAATGTCAAGCCCTTCCCTGTGATGCTCAGATGATGGGGCTGAGAGAACTACTGTTTTGTTCATTTCCTCATGGAGGAAATGTGCCATTCCAAAGATGACTTGAAGTTTCCTCAGCAGTGAGTCATTACTTTGTACACGAGCTGAACATCAGAGCATAATCGTAAATAAATAAAACTGGCGGCATAAACTGGAAATTAAATATATCCTCTCCTTGTTTGAAATGCACCATGATTCATGCTGTTGCTTCCTAGTTAAAATTGTATTTTAAACCAGGTTGTGAAGCGTTATAGGGCTCTTTGCAGCATTTTGTCACTCTGGGTTTATGTTGTGGCACTGCTCAAGGAGCACATTTTGCCTGTGTGCTTGGTGTCAGTTACAGCCACCCCCTGTGTGCCTCCTCCTTTGTTGCGTGTAGAAGAGCGGTGAGCTGTTTTGGGAGCCTGAGATGAGCAAATGACCAAATCCCTTATCATTTTTATTTATTTATTTATGTATTTTGCCAGGCCAACTTCAGGTGGACGAGCTCCCAGCCTGGTTCCTAGGGATGCCTGGGAGAACAGACAGCAAGTTCAGTGTCATCGCTGCATGGACTGCATGGAGCTGCCCTGAGTGCTGCCCAACATGTACAGCTGTCACCCTTGCTGCAGGCATCAGCCCAGGTGCATAAATCCCATGGAGAGAGGGTGAGTCTTGTGGCACTGTGCTCTGTACACTCTTTGTTGGCACCAAAGGGCATTTGGTTTGGACAAAAAATGTCCAAACTTCCCACTCTGTCCTGAGAGCCATGGCCTGGCTGCTTTGGCATTCCAGAAGGATGAGGGTGATGCTTGCTGAACTTTCAACACAGTGCTGTCTGCAGCAGCTGGGTGTTGTACAGCGGGGGGCTGCTCGGCCACATCCCTGCTGCGTGCTCACCCTGCAGCAATGGGAATGCTGAGGTTCCTAATCCTCCCCTGGCCACCGGTGGCTCCTGAGTGTCTGGCTGGGCTGCGGAGCTGCTGGTTAACACAGCTTGGGAAGACCTGCTGGGTGAGGAGGTCAGCACAGGCATCTGGGGTCACCATAGGGTTACCCAGCTCTTCATTTAGGCGAGAAAATCGAAGTGCTTTGCTCCTCCCCAGAGGTCCAGGGAGGCAGGGGTACTCTTGAGGTTGGACAATGCAGGTCTGCAGAGTCACTGCCGTTCACAGCGTGGCACGTTCCACACTACTGAAGGCTGAGGGCAGCTGGGAGGGAGGAGGCAGCATCGCTATCCCAGCTCACGGCCCTCTAAAACTGATGCATTTGCTCCTATCCCTGCTGGTTCCTATGCCATACACTAATCCACGACACACTGGATTCCTCTACTCCCTAAAGCTGAGCCTACTCAGACCAGACCCACTCTGTCATTTCCACTGTGCCAAGAAACCTCTGAGGCCTCAGTGCATCACAGTCCAAACCCTGTCCCTAAGCTAAATACCCGCAGTTGCCTGTTTTGGCAGAGCTCAGCTGTGAGACCTGCTCCCTGTGAACGCCAGGCAGGAGCACGTAAAACAGGAACGTTAACTATTTTTCCAGCTGTCTGCAGCTCATGAACTGTAAAACACACTAATGTTACACCTCTGCACCTTGCCAAGGAGATGCCAGTGACACTGTGTGTTTTCTTTTTCCTTCTTTAATATGGTTTCCAAAAGTTGTGGAAAACATCTGACATCAGGGGTACTTCTGCAGGAGCATGGCTGCTGCTGCTGGTGGGGTTTGGGCTCTCATTCCCCACCACACACCCAAGGATGGGATGGGGCAGGCTGCACCTGGTGTCCTCCAGGGCCATGAGCCTTCAGAAATGTCCCAGGTCCCACACATGGCTCCTGGGCACAGGAACACAGGGCTCAGCCGAAGCTGCACCCGGTGGGGCAAGAGGGAGCAGCCCGGATTGAAGCCAGTTTGTGTCTATCTTTGAACCCGATCCCTCCCTAAGCCTGTTTTGGCTCTGTTTGTTTGGAATAGACCCGAATCTAAAGGGAAAAGCAGACAAACCAGACTAAACATCAAATATTAAATAGCAACTGCTAATATGACAGCCATTAAACACAAGCGCTCTCTGCCTCTGCAGCAGCTGGGAGCTGGGCTGCACACCCACCTCTGGAGCCCGGTGCTACCGAAATCGAAGTCAGCCTGCACGTGTATATATCAAATTGCTGGAATGAAGAAGAAATCCAGTTTCCTGCTGCCAATCTTTCCGGCATCTGAGCGTCTGCTCCGAGCCAGGGGAGGAGGCAATGTGCTCTCCCCTCCTGGGCTGTGGGGAGGGACGCAGGCGGCTGCTTGGTTCTGGCTGTGCGCAGTGCTCGGTGGGGGTTGGCAGGGAGGTCGCCCCTCATCCTGCTGGAAAATTAAAGAAATCTTATTTTGTTTTGGGATGGATCCAAGAAGCTTTGAAGTCCTGGGAGAGATCTGCTGGCCAGGCCAATCCTTCTCTCCTCTCTCCCAGAATTTCAAAGCCGCAGCATTGGGATGCATCCAAGGAGAGGGCTTCTGCGCCGCTGTGGGGAAGGGGAGCCCACACCACGCTCCTGGGCCTAGGGCATGGGTTGCCCCGTGGTGCAAGGCTAGGAGAACTTGGACCAAGCGATGGCCGAGGGTCCTTCAGGGGACGGTCCATGCTGGGAACAGCAGAGCGATGAGGCATCCCAGGACATTGCGCTGCATGCCTGAGCCAAATCCCCCATCATGCCATCAGTGGGCACTTGCAGCCACAGCCTGGTCCTGGGTCCTGCTCCTTATCTCCCGTGCTCCTCCTCTTTCCTTGAGCAACTACTTTATCACATTTTGAGCATACCTTCCACTTGACTTAGCACTAACATATGTACAGTCGACATTTCAGTAATGCCTTACAAATGAGCTAGGGTTGTCTGGGAGATATCTGCTGCCCCGGGGCTCCATCACCTCCACTCCCTAGCCCTGCAGCTGTCTTGGGGTGGAGAGCCCTCCTGGTGCCCCCACAGCTGCTGTGGTGCCCAAAAACCTGCTGTTTTCCTGTATTCTCCCTCAGAAGGCCAATGCAGAGGGAGCAGGCTGTGGTGCCCAGCGGCCGCTCTGCTGGCACCCAGGGCTTCTGTGCACCGCCTGCTGTGAGCAGCCCCAGCAGCACTCTGTATTTGCAGCTTATAAATGGAGAGACAGGAAGGCAGATGGGCTGTGTATTTGTTGAAGTGCTTTCATGAAGAAAGCTCTGGCTGCACTGAATGCTGAGTTGTGCTTCCGCCATCCCAGCAGTGCAGCCTTCTGGATGGAGAGGTTGAGAGTCCTCCTGGAGGCATTCCCATCCCAGACGTTCCCCCAGACACACTTGACTGTGGATTTCTTTGTTCCGAGCTTTTATGTTTCCTGCAGCCCTCTTGAGCTCATGAGCACCGGCCACTTAATGGCTGCAGAGCCTGATCCATGTTTCTGTGTCACTGAGCACTGGGAGAGCTCTGAGGGCGCGTTGCTATGCTGTGAGAAACGAGGCAATGCAAAAACGAGGCTGTGTGTTATGGTGTTCTAGTGCACAGGGCCCAGCATCCATCACTCCCAACATCAGCTGCTGCGGCTGGAAGGCACTGCCACCAACTCACCTGCTCTGCTTGATCCCCTGCATCAGGCTGGCAAACCATCCTTGTCAGAGGTGTACTTAGCCTTATCCTTGAATGTCTCTGGGAAAAGCAATTCAACAACCTCCCCGAGGAGCTTGTTCTGTGTCTGAACTCTAGTTAGAGTTAAAAAGGTTTCCCTAATGTTTAATTTTCTCCGCTGCAACATAACACCGTTATTCCTGGTTCGAGCTCCTCGATGGCTCTTTTTCCCCTAAGCCTCCATTTAGGAGAGATGGGGCAGGAGTTGGATGAGCTGACTTACAGCTCAGATGCAACACAGTTTCAGCCAATTCTGTTTAATACAAGTTAAGGTAGGCAGAGTTTATGGGATCATATCAGGTTTTAAGCGGACTTAGGCAGCGCTCAGATGTCCTCTTGTGACATGAGCTGGTTTTGGAGCCGGTGCTGCAGACAAGGCAAGGCACAGCTCTCCACTCACCCCCCTTTTCTCACTCCCAGCTCTCAGGTGGGTGGCAGCCCCCAGCACAGCTCCACGGGGCGGGGAGGGGCTGGCCATGGGGCAGGTGGCACTGCGATGTCCCCATAGGAAGGCACTGCTGTGTCAGATGAGCTGCCGGCGTCTGGGCAGTGAGCATCAGTGCAAAGTGGGGAGAGGAGCCCGGAATGTGGAGAGGAAATGAGTACAGGGAAATTCAAAACTCTCCCCAGATGAAAAACAGAGGGGAGGAGGTTTTATGGCACGTGAAGTTGTAAAAATATGGTCCTGATTTTCTTCCTGATTTTTAGCTTAGCAAATCACACCGAGCTCTAGTTGTGCTGTCACAGCCATGGGGATCCCTGCAGCAGTGCTCACCATGTTGGGCACCAGGAGCATCATGGGGAGGGCTGAAGCATCCCTGAGCCCAGAGCCTCCTCAGCCCAGCCCACCCCACCATGCCCATCCCCACGTCCCTCGGTGCCACATCTCCACAGTTCTGGAACAGCACTGAGGATGGTGATCCCACCACTCCCTGGGCAGCTGGGCCACTGCATCCCTGCTCTTTTGGAGAATAATTTATTCCCAATACCCAACCTGCCCATCCCCAGGCACAACTTGAGGCCACCACTTCCCATCCTATCATAGTTATCCGCAGAGCCACCATGCCTCAGTCCGACCCCTTTTCAGGCAGTTGTAGAGAGTGATGAGGGGTCCCAGGAGCCCCAGACTGACCCACCCCATTCCCTCAGCTGCACCCTACAAGACTGGTGCTGCACACCCCTCACATCTCGGTTGCCCCTCCCTGGACATGCAGCCACCAATGATGCATTCAATAACCACAGGCCGTGGGGTTATTCCTCATACAAAAACTGTCTCTGGTGTGACTTTAAGTAATGCTGTTTAAATTTTTTCTTCTCTGAGTGTTTGTAATGAGCAGCTTGGATCTGTTTAGAGCACATTCATTAGGGATTCTCCCATGTATTTGGCTTTGCTGGGCATATAAGTGGCACAAGTTGCTGGGTGAGGTTGGTGCTGCGTGTGCCTGTGCTTATTGACTCAAAATGTGTTTCCTATGGATGTTCTGTAATATTTACTTAAATCGAACTGCTTCTGGGGCTGCTGGCAGAGAGCACACTGAGCGGGATTTCCACGGCTAGCAGAGACAAAATGCTGGGCAGGGTGGGAACTGATCGTCTGAGGGCTCGAGCACATGCACTATTTGTTTTATGGTATTTATCTACTTTCGTTTACAACGTGGGCATTTTTATTTATTTATTTTTAAAACCTCCCCCCCCCAAACCTTTTAAAAGCCTGCGGCTCTATCTGGGATCTGGGATTCCAGTTACAAACTTTTACTGCTCTGCTTCAGCCACGACTTTTCTATAAACGTGTGGTTAGGCTATTTTTACTTTAGAAAAAGGGTCGGTTTTCCCCCTTTTTTTTTGTTTTTTTTCTTTTTTTTGCTGATCAATTGCAAATGGATGAAGGAAATTTGCTCAGACTTTCCCCGCAGACATTCCCCATTGGGCAGAGATTAAACACGGGGAATTTTAGCCTGAGTGCAAACGCTTTGGACATTTATGAAGGTGGGAAAGCAGGGGCTGATTCTGAGCGCTGCTCTGCAGCTGTG